TCGGAGCGTCTCCTCTCAGCTTATAGTTTGTTTTATCTTGGGTAAGAGTACAGTTGAAGGCTCAGACACATACAACCAGAAACATACTAGAAGCGCAAGTCACAGGACAGTCGCTGCACTTGACTTGTTTAGTCGACGAAAGACACCACCCACAGGCCAGAGGCGACTGGCACGACATCACGCTTTGACGCTGGTTGTTCCCATTGGCTCCTAGCAGCTGCTCCGCTTTAAATTAAGCTGAAACGGAGTATTGGGATTGCTCGTCAGCCTCTCTGATTGGTTGATGTGCCTGCGGATTTATTGCCGCCATCGTCTAAACTTCCAGACGATGTTGGTGATTTGAGGAGCTAAAAGTTTTGAGAGAAGATTGCCATATTGTAGGATGGCAGCTCTTAGGATGAGACAGACCCAGGGTCTTTACTGCCGATGAGATAGTATTGTGTCTGCTGCATGCCCCTGTGCCACTTCTCACCAGCGTGCTGAGCTTCACCGCTTTGCACCGGGGTGCTAGGTGCAGCGGCTGACATGGGTGAGCACGATAGGCTCAATAATTATGCTCAGTACTATTCCACGTCTACTTTTTCTTCTTGTCTCGGTGGTAAGTTAATTTCCAAATTAAAAATTGGACCGAAGAAAAAAAATGTGTGTCTATATTTGAATAAATAGTAGTCCTGGTGAAAGCAAGTAGACAAGCGAGCTGGTCAAGGGTAGACATAGTAACCCTGGAGCAAGGGGCCTAAAAAGGGGACAGACACACAAGGAACAGCCTTGTCTGCTCTTCCCCTTTTTTGTTCCCTTGCTCCAGGGTTACTATGTCTATACACCAACTCATCTGTCACGTCACGGCGCGGTGGTGGCGCGTCGGTCGCACATCCGGTCTGGGGCTGTGGGCAGAAGTCCCCATGCCAGACGTCTATTCCTGCGTTGTTTTGAATTGAACTAGACAAAAACCTGCCTTCTTGTCCAAACGCCAGGACTGGGGCCGTACCAAAAGAGTCGAGAAAGGTTTGAAGGTCAGTTTTCATGTGCTCGGTTTGTCCGAGAATCTGGATATGTGCCATGAAAAGGGAAAAGCAGACGCCGTCGGACAACGATTGCTTGGGCGGGAAGCACTTTGAGTTGAATTCACGGATACTTGTGGTCATCAGATTTATTTGTTTTATTCCAACATGAACGCCAGAAAACCGTCAAGTTGTGCAGACCACCTGCAGACTACGTTCAGTGCGTCTCCAAGTTCAAACGGCCGCCTGATAGTTCGAACTGTCGTCTGCTCTTTCAAACGTTTCTGCTTGTCGTATGCTTTCTTAGACGACGCCGGCCCGTAGATTAAATGTTGGCCCGGTACTTGCTATACGAAATAAGTGCAGGCCTCTAAAGACTTAAGTTTGAAGGTTGGTAAGCAGGCTCGATATAAGCAGTAAATACAAGGAGGTGTTTATCATTGTTACGAGTGACAATCACTGACTTGCTATGCCTAATTGACTTGGTCCGATTCTGCTTGCGATTTTCAGTATCGACGTTGACTATCTCAGCTACGGTTCACGCTTTTCCGGCCCCAGGCGGCGTCGCAACTGAAAATTGCGAGCGAAATCTCATCATGCGAATCAGGTTTTAGCATACATACTGCAGCGTCCACGCGGAATGAATCGCCACATCTCACATTATTCACGCGAAGTTTCGCGGTGTAACGAGCCTCGGTAATTTCGCTGATGCCGCTAGTCAGGCATCGCCAGGAAGACGTAGAATCAACAATTCGAACGCGAAAAAGAGCAGGGGGACTCACACCGGCGCCGACAACATCGCATTTCAAAGGTTTGTTTATCGGCGTCGGCGAGCTTCTCGCCCATACCCCCATCGCGCATGCGCGGCGCAGGTGGCGTTCGCTAGGGGCGTTCCGGTTTGTTTGTAAACATGAGTTGGTCTATACCCGTTTTCACCTCAACAACTGTAGTAAAAAAAGTTTGGCTCCTTGCAGAGCACTACTCATTTCCCCCTCTTTGTGGATAATTAGGATATATGTAGGTGAATTTCAGATTAGATGTTTCTTATCAACACATACACGTTCCAAACTCCAAAAGCATTGCTTTTTTTTCCTATAACCAAATCTCGTAAGAACTACTTTGCGCTACGTATGAACAATGTGCAGAACTGCTTTTTTTTAGGTGAAATGGGTACAGTAGTCAATCTTGTTCCTGTGCAGCTGTCGATCCAAAAAAGCAGCAAACTTTGACTTCAGTCTTGTTTCATTGCCGCTAAAGAGCAGTGTCACTTGCACGAGTGTAGATTTTCATAATATTTGGGGGTGGTTGTTTTGGCAGTTCATAATATCAAAGTCTCGAGTTTGGTAGGTTCATAAAATTTAGGGGGCACATTTTTGTTAATAGACGAGGTGGATTTTGCAATCATTTTATAGAACTTATATATTACCCATTATATACCCATTGAAAATGAAACCTTCTCTTGTCTAGAGCCTTATTTCTAAAACAAATGCCCCGTGTTTCTTTGGCACCCTATCTCTTCTTATTACAAAAGGTAACAAATAATATGCTCCAGTATCAAAAAGAAAGCCCCAGTAATTATCATGGAGAAACTCGTTTAGCTATGCGGTCAATCTTTCATTTTCCAACGATTTGCTAACAGATGTTGGCATCTGTTCCAAAAGCACCAGTGACCGCTCCAAACCATTGTTTTGCCAGCTACAGAACCTACTGTATGTAGAAGGTCAAATACCACTTTGATCAGTGATGATATTTCTTTAGCTGGATTTGGTGTTGGTGCCTTTGTCATTGGAAATACTAGCTGTCCCACGACCAATCTTGGGAGTGTTGCTCGAGTGAATGTTGATGTTTTAGAACTATACTAAACGTCCGAATGTAGTTGCTGGCAAGCAGAGAAGCTGCCCTGCCCCCTTCCTAGGAAATGTATGGGTTCACCTTTTTGCCCAATATACAGTAAAACCTCGTTATAACAAAGTTGAAGGAGCGGTCGTAGTTATTTCGTTATAACCATTAGTTTGTTATAGCCAATGTCCATTTCTCCATACTATTAGCAAGCAAGGGGAATTATGATTGCTTTGTTATATCCATTAGTTTGTTATATCCCATTTTGTTATAACGAGGTTTTACTGTAAAAGCGTGTCCCCACTTGGTCTAAGAAGCACAAATGGTATGGTCCAGCTGAAAACCGGAGCAGTGACTTTTGCCATGACCCAGTGACCCATTGTCCTAGACAAGCCTTGACGATGTATGCAATAAACCCTTTGTGGTCAGTAGTCTCAGATTTGAAAGAAAATTAGTCACCGCTTTTCGGGACAACTGACCCTGTGCTTTAACCAACAGTCTTTTTTTTTTTTTTTTTTTTGTTTTTTGTCACCATAATTTTGAAATTGGAGCTCTTTTGGGTAAATTTACATAGACAAAACTTTTACCGTCATATTTGTTTTCTACATTTTATTTGATTTATATGAAAGCACGGTACCCTCTTTATCATAGAAAAGGCCCCCTAAAGCTGTTTGGGAAACACAATAAAACCCTGATTGATTGATATGGAGGCCCCCAGATTTTGCAGATAATTCCTCAATTTTTGAGGCACAAGCTTAAAAACTACATGAATCTGAATATACCACTTCCTCATTGTTCGATGTAGCAGAGAACATGACCACTCGTAATGAAAAAAAAAAAAAAGTTATAAGATGCATTGACCAGCAGTGATACCCCACCAACACAAAATCTCTCTCATCTTGAAAGGGATAGCGTATAAATATGACATTCTGGTGGTAACATCAGCACCTGATAAACTTAAAAAAATGTGTCCGAAGATCAACTCTCAAAACGAATGACAAGAACAATGCTCAGTCCAGCACGCACATGGACATGTCAACTGCAATGTCAACATTGTCTACGAAATTCTATGCACATGTGGGAGAGTGTATGTTGGTCAATCTGGGCACTGCCTTAATGTAAAACGATGAGTGCATGACCTTTACCTATGTTCATCACCATCGGGTCACCTAGCCATACGTGTCAGAGACAGTAAATGCACTCCTCATTTTATTTAAACAAAAGTCTTCAATTGCTTTCGGAGCAAGAGAGCCAGAGATAGGTTTGAGGCAAAAACCCCAATAGAAAAAGGAGACACGTGCATTAGCGCACCATTAATATCACCGTGTGAGAAAGAGAAAGGGTACCGCAACCTTTTTTTTTTTTATTAATCCCGCTGGTTTTTTCTTTTCATCTCTCTCCTTTATCAATTTAATTTTGGTAATTTTTAGGCTTCAAATTTACAAATATTTTTGCGCAAATGCTTTTTATGCTTCAAATTTACAAATATATTTATTGCGCGAATGCATGTAGCATTTTATTTTCATCTTTCTCTTTTCATGCATTAGACAATCGCTTATAGTAAGCACTTGTCCTGTTCATATCTCTGTTCTGTCCTCGTCCTTTGCGCCTTTGTATTGCAGATGTTTACCCAACTAGCCCAACAATTAGTTTTAATTCCCCAAGTCTCGAATGTTTGAAAAAATATCTATGATGGAATTAACCATTACTACTAGTATTTCTTTGACAACTTACCCATACGTACACATTGTATCTGAAGATTATCCTATTTTTCGTAATATTGTGGTTTAAAAGTTGTATGCTATGCAACAGGATTACACTGGTGGTGTGCGTAAATGTGAGTGTCCACCTCTTCATGATTTACAACCTTTCCTGTCCCGAGTTGTTTTGTTTATGGTCAAAGATATCTGTGGATGCTCTTATACTCTTCATTAAGCAACGGTATAGAAAAATTGGTCGACCAACCACCTTTTCTTTCATGTTATCTGATATCACCCGTCAGTACATTCCAGAGAAGGTCAGTGCATGCTATTTTCAGGCTCTTTTTTTGCAAATAACACTCGGAAGTTTGATGTTACTTCTCTTCAATTGGAGCCGTATGCATACTTTTAGGATTTTTAATATTGGAGGGAGCTGATTGTTTTGGTGGCTCCTGTGCAGGCCAAAGACAAGTATGGAATATCAGCGCTCCTGGCAGCCATCTGGGAGGGCCACACGGCCTGCGTCAAGCTCATGGTGGAGAAGGTGAGCCTGTTCCGTCTTTCCGTTTGAACGAACCCTCGTGATCCGTAGCCTGAACGGAAAAAACGCGCTGCTGGAAACTTTGTGAGCTAATCAGCCCAGTAGTGCCACGTGAGAGGCAAAGCTGGGTCACGAGGGAGAAACGTGCGTTTCTGCTTTTGTAGCTGTTGGGTCAAACTGCATTTCGAAGCAGGCGACGTCCGATTCGTCTCGATGTCAGCAAATCGAGTCGACTCAAAGAAGCCTCTGTCGGGAGTTGCACGCGTTGCTCTTGCGTTTGGTCCCGATTATCTTGTTTCACGCAAAGTTTGAACTGACGTAACTCCGTCCAACAGCTCCTAGACGAGGAGGCTGCGAGAGGTTCGCGACGACGGTGGCTCCACAGGTCTGGGCAGCTTGAAGACTGCCGCTGCACGTCAGGCCTTTACACTGCTGGTATTGAGATTCCCATAAGGATGTTGACGTTGTGCGTGATGTGCCAAGCTCGCTGCGCGTGAGAGAGGGGTACTTCGCCGATTGAACGGCATCGTCGAAAACCTCGAGGGACGCTCTGTCGTGCCGACCGACAAACCGCACGCGGGTGCACGCAATCGTCGGCATAGTTGTTGGCAATGCGGCGATGGGACGAGGAGCGGTTAGTTCACGGCAGCCCAATTGTCGGCCTACTTGTCCATCTGGCTTTGCCGTACCGTATTTACTCTAATATAAGACGACCACGAATGTAAGTCGACCCCCCTATCTTCAACTCGCCAAGGAAAAGAAAAATATCCGAATATAGGTTTATCTATATTTATAAGAGAAAAAATTACAGACGTTTACAATTTTCTGTAATGCCGAATTAAAGTGCAGCTCTTGAGGAGGAGGGGAGGGTATGCCCCTCTTCCTTCCTCGCTAAATTTAGCGGAGAAAATTTTCCGCTAAATATAGTAGGAAAATTTTACCCTTGTTACGTCACACGTGAAGTCATGTGTGACATCACGAGGGTAACTCTCGTGACCCTCTTGAGAGCAACTCTTAAAACCCTCGCAAGGGTACCCCTTGTGACCCTCGTGAGGGTAACCCTCGTGACCCTCGTGAGGGTAACTTTCGTGACACTCGTGAGAGTAACCCTTGGACCCTTGTAAGGGTAACTCTCATGACCCTCGTGAGGATAACGTTTTTGAGGTTAACTAACCCTCGCAGCCCTCGTGCGGGCAATGCTCGTGACCCTTGTGAGGGTAACCCTTGTGATCCTCGTGAGGGTAACCCTCGTGACATCATTATGGGAACCTTCCTCATAATGCAACGCGCGGGTACGCTGACGGTGATGCTGCTCAAACCGGAAACGGGCGCCTAAGAGCTGCGCTTCAAAACGGAGAAAACATATCAAGATAAACGTTTATTAACAACGCATCGCTCAAGTCTCGCTGATTGGAGCTACATGCTGCGTCGTCAGAACTTGCAGAGAAGTCGTCGTCATCTGATGTTTTGCCAGTGTCCTCGGTGCGCCATACGACGTCGTCCTTGGTGCCGTTGAGAGCGTTTGAGATGCAACGCTTCTTAAATCCAGTCTGGATGATGTGCGCTGGTAGGTCTTCCCACGCGTCCTTCACCCAAGTTGCGACTTCGCTGAGGGGAGCTTCTTGCAGCGTCCTGTTGGGGGTCTTGGCGGCGTCATTCCTCACCAGCCACTCCTTGTAGGACGCAGCAATGCGGACCTTGAATGGCTTGTTTACAGCAACATTCAAGGGCTGCAGCTGAGACGTCGTACAACCAGGTACTATAATGACCAGGTCCGTCCCAGCCTCCTGGATGGGCCTCTTCACTCCTGGGCAAATGTGGCCTCTGAAAGATTCTAGGACCAGCATGTTCGGAGGTTTCAGGTCTGCTCCCGGTCGCTTCACCCAGACCATCTCAAACCACTCCTTCACCATTCCCTCATTTATAAATTCCTTTTCATTTGCGCGAGTTATCACTTTCTTCGGGAACACCTCGCCCTTGGGGATGGTGTTCCGGCGAAATGCAATGTATGGCGGCAACTTCCACCCATCAGCTGTGCAGTGCAGCATTGCAGTGAACCGTGTGTGCTCATGCCCTGTTGCGAACAGGTGCACGTCCTTCGCTCCTTTCGTTGCTACCATCGTGCGGCTGGGCATGTCGAAGTAGACGAGGGTTTGGTCCATGTTTCCGATTTGGCTGAGAAGGTTTCCATGCCCGAGCTTGATCACTTAGCACGGAAACTCCACCAGCTGCTCCTTGAACTCCGCTGGAAGACGCTGCCAGGTGGTCACTGCGACGAAGGGAAAGTGCGCCGTATAAACTCCTGGTTCATCCCCAAACTCGCTTTGAAGGTTGACCAGTTGATCCTATCTCACTTCGCCAACTGCTGAGCTCTCATCTGAATATCTTTGCAAGAGACTGGAAGCCCTTTTGCAAGCTCTTCTTCCACGTGAAGTCTCTGTTCTCTCTCTAAGGCATTGTGCCTCCCATTTGTAGGGCCACGAAAGCTGCGATGTAGTCCACTGCACGCAGAAAGTGCATGACGTAGTTTATGCCAACCTCTAACAAACTTTTCATTAATGTTGAATTCTCGCTGAGCAGCCCAGTTATTGGAGCTCTCAGCAAAGAGCGTCACTCGACCCTTGAACTCGGCTGTGTAACTCATCCGACGAGACATTCTCGGAAGAACAGCAAAAGCAGAATGTCTCGTTGAAAGAAAAACAATCGAAAAATGGCAGGAGCAGCAATCAAAAGTAAGCAGAAACAAAGACAAAGGCATAGCAAGGTAGCAAGACGAAACGACAAAGCATAAAGTGGAGCAAGCGAAGGTAGAGACAAGGGGCACGGGGGTAGGTGGATTCGGCCGGGCGCGCAACGCAGCTCGCCAAGGCAGCCAAGCATGCTGCTAGTTTCGTATTTCGCTTCTCTTTTCGTCCATGAGGTGGCGTTACTCTGTCCAGCTCCCTTTGGTCGCAGATCGCGTGGAGTGCAAATGGTCGACAGGGAGTGCGGTGGTCTCTTTGTTCAAACTTTTTTCTGTATAATTTCCTTTTTTAATTTTTGGACTCGATTTTTATATGGTGACCACAAAGAGAATGCACTATACATAGATACCAGCGGTGCCGACCCTAATTAAGGAGCGGCGGGTGCGACAGAAAAACAAATCGCTCAGTCTGCTCGTCAACTTTGACCAGGAATATAGGTGGAAATTCTTTGGTTACGATTACAGGTCGACCCTTAATTTTGGAGGATGTTCCTGGGAACAAAGAGTTGACCTATATTCAAATAAATACTCTAATTTAACCCATAGCCGACGCTCGAAGACGCCTTTGCGCAGGTCCGTCGCACCGAAGACTCGGAGAAAAAGCCGAAGTGAAGGCGATTGGCACCGACGAGCCGAAAGTCCCAACGAACCGCCCGACGCAGCCAGCACGGGACGCCGCTACCGGTGGCGTTAACCTCGTGTCGTGTGGATTTTGTGGACGGCCTTTCTTTTTTCTCTCCGAGCGTCTCGCGAGTCGGGTGCTGTCCAGCAAATGTTGCGACGGTTTGTCGTTTGAGCGATAAGTTGGCATGGGTAAACTCTGTCTGCCTTCGCTTCGAGCGGCAGCCTCCGTGTAAAATTTGTCTAGGTAACAGTCGACGGATTGCCACCGAACTTACAGGACGACCGTGGGGTTAAAGTCTCGGTCGTCCGCAACATGTTATCCGGGATTCCGGTCCACCCTGACTATGGGGAATGATCCAGAGCCTCGCTGCAGCGTGCAGGAACGGTCGCCGTGCCGAAGGTGTCGGATACTTGCCATAACCGCATGAGCTTCACAAGGCTGGACGAAGTCACATTTGGAGAATGCTGTATCATGCCGGCCGTGGAGCAAGTTTTGGGATGCTTTGCCATCGAGCGAAGCTGGCCGGAGGCTGTCAAGAGCCAACGACGTTGCAATTCCGTCGGCTGCCATTTGCGACGACATCTGCTTCCAGATACTTCGGCGCCAGATCGGCTTGGTTTGGGACCATGTTTCTTGACCCTTGTAAAAACTATGCATCGCAGAAACCTCCGTGAGAATGCAACGCCAGCAGTTGGGATGGGAGGCGAAACTGGAGAACATGGCCTTGCCCAAATAAAGGGGTAAAAGAGAAAGTCCAAATTTTTCTATAAGCCGATGTCAACCTAAGCCTAGCATTGTCACGGGTGGAAAAGGGTAAACGAATGCGAAGCTGAGAGTAAACGTTTGATGAGACAAGCTTGAGCCTACAAACTAAAACTGAAGGCATGGAGCGTCTGCGTCAACTACGGAACGGCGACTACGAGTGTTTCCACGCCAGATCGTTCAGCAATGGTCAGTCATATTTTTTATAGTTACATAAAAAATGCATGCGAAAGCCACGTTCTTGGGAGGAGAATACAGCTATATGTGAACTTTTAGCTAGTCTTTTTCCGCTGATACGAACTTTTCAAGCTCGAAGCATGGAGATTGCCACGGTTTCAGTATGGTACTTTGCACAGCCGTCAGTTTCCCACCGAAGCATGCACATGATAATTTTTTCTATTTCCTTTATGAAACGTTTACAACATGTATGCAAGATATTAAAAGTTACAATAAAAGATTTTTTGCAAAAAAAGCTACGAGATACTACGTCCAGTAAGCACGTTTTAGGGACAGATTCACAAATTATTTACCAACAAACTATTTAGTATGAAATGGCACAAAGTACAGTAATAACGAAATCGCTTTTTTGGAATTAACGCTTTTATCGAAGTTCAACATGGTCCCGACCGAAATGCACGCATTTTTAACCGGATTATTGTAAGTGTGTTGGCGGCCGACCACGCTTAATACAAAGGCCAAGGTGCCGGAAGCATGCGGGCGTACACAGAGGAGCACGGAGACCCTGGCGTTCCTCCCCCTTTTCCACCGAGGCCCTGGGAAAACTGAGGAAAGGAGTGACAGAGGGCAGAGTTCCGCTTCCAATGTCAATGCGCCGACGCAGGCAGGGAGTAGCGTCAAAAGGTTGACGCTACT